CCCATATTCATATTCATTTTAAACGGTTAAACCTACCAATTAACCGTAACCGCATACTTTTTTTACACTTTTCGTGTTTACCCATTTTTTAACTAGTTGAAAATCATAAAACAATTTTGTCATGATTTTGTTCAAATTCCATCATTGTATTTCTTTTCTCAAACTATAGCTCATATTGGAAGGAAAATTCATGCATTTTCAACATACTTTTTCCCTAAACCCAATCACCACTTTATTTAAAATATCCGATGCTTTTACTAATCTAGCACAAGTGACGAGATCAAGTATAAAATATATGATGCTTTTACTAATCCAGGAAAAGTGACGAGATCACATATACCTGCTGCAAACGCACATGCAATGATAGATGTACCTCACACATGTCCAAACATTATTCATGATGGATGAAAAGAGAATGTCATTGCCCTACCAAAAAAAAAACAAAAGATGAATCTTGCTGCCACATCACCAATCGTGAATGCCAGTATTTTCCTTGATCAACTAAGTTGTGACATTCAAACACTTGAGACTAATATATTGCCACAACGTAAACAGTTTAAGGTAGGTGAAAATTTGAGCATCTCTTGAAATACAATAAAGCTTTCCTTCATTACTTTGAAGAAACTAACGTTCATTTTTTTTCATTATTTTGTTTATGTCATACTAGATTTATACAGCTCCTAAATTTATTGATCCTTTGCCGACATGGATATATAGAGAAGAATTCCTTGAGGCTATCAGGACATATATTATTGGTCAAACTGATGTTAATCCTGATGGAGATTGTGGATACAGAGTCATATCTATGGCGTTGGGGATTGATAATGGATGGTGTAAGGTACGAAGAGATTTACTACATCAACTACGTAAAATGCCTTCTCTTTTTCAGGGGTGTTTTGTAGGGAACGATAGGTATGCGGAGATTGAGCGAGCACTTGATTATTTTGAAGATGGTTTTGCACCAGAGTATAGTTGGTTTACCATGCCAGATATGAGGCATATAATTGCTACATGTTATAACGTGGTTTTGATACACTTGAGCATGACACAATGCATTACGTTTCTTCCATACTCTCTAGAGTCATCAACTCAATCAAGTGATACTGACCTACATGAGGTTGCCATTGGTTATCTAATTGAAGATCATCATTTTATCCAGGTATAAGATATGTTTTTTCTTTTTACATATATATTTATTTTATCTTATTTGATAACTCTAAATTGCTTGATGACTTTGTGTATTGTAGGTACATTTGTGTGAAGGTCACCCTATGCCACCAGTTTCTACCATGTGGCACAAAAAGAGTCAAACAAGCAGTGATTAGAGTGAAAAACTTGTACTCAATATACTTGGGGCATGTGGATCAATTTAAGCAACTTTGAGGGCTAAAGAATGTAGCCACTAATGATATTGTGGATCTTAAAGATGATTAAAACATCAAAACATTTCTTGACACCTATGGACCTCAATTTGTGTATCATGCACGAACTTACTGCTCAAGGCCCCTCAAGAATGATTCTTGAGTGGAAGACAAAAATAAGCTTCAAGTCTTTAACATGTACATTCTCTTAAAATTTCATGTACTAAACTAGTATTTACGATTTCACACTTTAATTATAATGCAGTTTGACGCTAATATGATTTACTGTAATTAATAAAGTTTAGTGTTAATTAAGTTCTGTCTAAATTTGGGGTAAATTTTCTTTACATATATCTGGACTTCATCTAGACTTCACAGAAGACGATGAATTCTTCAAGGCGTTGGTAGTCGGCTTATGCACCTCGCTTCCCACTGGGCCCTGATCATGTCAAATTTCTCTCAACAATGCCGCCACATCCTTCATCGTGGGACAATCCTCCGCCCAGTTGATGGTGCAGAGGAATGAGATTCCAAGAGCTTGGAGCATTTCTTGTATCTGTGTGTCTGGGTAACCTTGAAGTTTAGGATCAAGAATATCAACAGGGTCCTTCTTGCTCTTCAGTTGGTCTCGGACCCATTGAATCACATGTTGTCCATCTGTGAATGATGGGTCCACTATCCTTTTCCTAGTTATGATCTCCAAAAGGACAACCCCATAACTATACACATCGCTTTTCGCAGTTATTTTTAGCATGCATGCATATTCTGCAAGTAACAATTGATTTATCAGCTTTTGTGTTGTGGAAAACCATGCAAAGAGCTTAGGTCTAAACACATCAAATTTAGCTTCTAAAAATCAAATGGGTGTAAAAATAAAGGGTTTTTTTTATTAACACCCTACATGTTGTTGAATACACCCCGCTTAAAAATGTAATACTAAACAACTTGTAACTCTAATATGAAATGACTGTTCGAACCCTCATAGTTGCTCTTACTCTCCACAAGTCGATGAAAATAGATCTTTTGATGAACGGAACATACAAGTTGATGAAAATAGATCTTTTCAAGAAATTATTTAAATAATGGAATAAAAATTTGACTTTTTGCAAAGCCATGCTCTAATTGGAATCCAAGAAATAGGAAGAAAACTGGATAATGTTAAAAAATTTACGGTGTAATTAAATGTAATATTTTTGTGGCTGTTTGATGATGAAGAAATTCAATTTTTTTGGCTGGTTGGAACTGACATGACCTTATAAGAATAATTCCTACCATTTGTCCATCAGGCTTCTTAGAATCCAATGTGATTGTTCAAGAAAATTTGACGGATGTTTATAAATCAAACGACAAGATGGAGATTTTATACAAGAATTTAATTCATCTTTCTTGTCTTTAAAATATGGATTATTCTTTTGTTTGAAAGAGATGAAGAGTTTGATGTGTGGTTAATTAATTGATGATTGTGGGGTGTGTGAGATGTAAGGTGTGGGGTGTATGAGATATGTGTGAGGTGTGATGGTACTATTGGAAAATACGTGGGGTGTGTTAAGAAAAATTTTAGTTTAAAAAGTAAATTTGGGGTGTATTAAGAATGTGAGGTGTAGTCAACAAAATGTGGGGTGTTAATAAAATAAGCCAAAATAAATCCACATATTGAATTGCGTTTATGGGGGTATATTAGGTATTAAATTTGGATTTAAGGAGATATTAATAGTTTAGTTAAAAATCAAATGGATGCAAAGAGTAAGTTGGGTGTAGAAATAGGTTAGATGAGTTTAAATAAAATTTCCCTAAAAATAAATATAATCTTAAATCGAATCAGATTATGCCAGCTCCAGATTTGTTCCGTTAACGGGTTATTGGTTTTGGGACTTAATCGGATAGTCGGATTGTATCCGTAGACCCATCTCCAATAAATTTTATCTGATAGGATCCGGATCTCAATCGACACGCCTACTTGTAGGTTGCATATAGGGTAGACTCGTTTGGTTCAACCCATATGGGTTTTGCTTGTCCTTTGTACGTATAAACCCTTTGTGACGGTTTATAGTCATTTCAGGTGCTAATTAAGGCCAACCGCAGGAGCATAACCGATTACTTCTGACTTGGTGACTTTGTAGGCAAACATGGCGAGCTAAGTAAGGGAGAGGATATTGGGGTTTTGCTGTTCTTGAGAGAGGCTCTCGTGGTTCTCGTTTGCTGGATTGGAGTCCAAATTCTAATAGTGATTGGATTGGGCTGCGGTCGAGTTTCAAAAAATTTCCAGAAGGGTTTTGTCTTTGTGTGCCCTTCAGGTTGAAAAATGATCGAAGGGCTGCGGCTGAGAAAATTAGGGTTTGCTACATACCAGTTAAAAAAAAGTATAAAACCAGGGTTTGCTGCGCTCTTCTTTGAATCCATCAAATTCCAGAATCTGTAGGACCAAGGAAGTTGGAGGCGCATCCACACGCATTTGAGCTCGCACATGTTCAAACTGGCTTTATGCGATTAGGTATTTCGAAACAGCTTATTAATTTCAGAATTTTCGTTTTGGTTAATTGATGTTTCAGTGTTCAATTGAATAACACATTGGCTACTGCAAGTCGTAGTGAGCGTATGACTATGGTAGATAGATTCAGTGATCTCCCGATTGGAGTTACTCATCACATCCTTTCCTTCCTTAATATAAGGGACCTCACTTGTTTCAGCATTGCGTCCAAAAGATGCATAGAACTTTATCTGTCAACTCCGTCATTGGATTTCGGTGATTTATTACCGAAGAGAACACCCAAGGGTTCCAGCCACTTTACATGTGAGTTTAGGTTGAAGTTGTTGAGTTCATTGGATAGGTTCTTGCTTAAACGTGGGGATAATAAGATAAAGTACTTTCGTCTGTTTTGGACTGGTCACTTAATCAAAAATAGAGATCGAACACCATGCTTCTGTGTAAATGAGAATTTTCGAATAGTCAATTTAATTCACAATGCAGTGAGGTGTAATGTTGAAGTCCTTGATATTTTTTTGGATGAAAAGTTAGCATTTCCCTTTAGTATCTTCCTTTGTGAAACTTTGAAGTCTCTGGTGATTAATATGCCTTCCGCTGTTAAAACACCTTCGGTTGCTTTTTCCTCCAACCTTGAATACTTGGAGTTGATGAATGTAGAAATAAAAGATGAGGGGTTTTTCAAGTGGATCTCATGTTCCTGCAAATCCATCAAGGAATTAATTCTTTGCGGTCTTGGTCGCACAAAAAATATCACCATTGAAAGCTCGTCCTTGGAAAAATTTGAACTATATGACGGCTTTTGTACCCCAATCCATCTTAACATCTCAGGTGAGAAACTTGAAACCATACGTGTTTCCTGGAGATTCCGTTTGTCTAAAGGCAAATCGTTAAATATTTTTGCTCCAAAACTTAAATATTTGTTTTGGAGGGGGAATGTGATGAAGAAAGCAAACCTGGGAAAATTAGAATGTGTAGAAGAAGCATCTATGTTTCTGGAGCCTAAAGCAGATGACTTTGACAACCTGTTAAAGGTTTTTTGCAGTATGCACAGGGTTGAATATCTTGTTATAAATTAAGCAACCATTAAGGTACTGAGAACGACAATCCTTCATTCTGAATTTTACTGGTCAGAATTTAACCTGACTAATCTTTATTTCTCACTTGATACTTGATAGGATAAAATGTGAATTGAGAAACATGATATACGTTTCCCATTTTATGTCATTACAGGCTTTGTTCAGCGAAGGAGGATGAACACAAGCTCGATTCAATAACCTTTCGTATTTGGAAATGGATATTCGGAGCTTTTCTGATGAGCTCGTTCCTGCATTGGTCTCTCTTTTAAGAGGAATGCCCAATTTGTGTACTTTATACGTAGGTTATCACTCAAGTCGTGACACCAAATCTGATGTAAGGGTTTAGTCTACGTTTTTCATTCTAAAGAATTTGTATGGTTTCTTATCGTTTGGAATATATCAATTGGGTTGCTTGTTGACATTTTGCTTTTCCAGGCATCTAGGTTTGATGTGGAACACTGGAAGCTCCAACATCTGGAATTTATTCATCAAACTGAGGAGGTTACCATAGCGCTTTCCAGTGGGTCGAATGGGATTGAGTTCGAAAGGTACATACTCGAGAATGCCGAGAAGCTGGAGCAAATGACAATAATTCATTTACCCGAGCAATCTGATGCTATACAGAAGCTAAATGAAAGTAAGATGATGTCCAAGGCCACAGTGATCTTCAAGGAAGACAGCTAGATAACCAAGTTGTTTTGATGTTTTTCATAACTTTGTTTCATTTTATAATGTTGAAACCGTAAATTTAAATGGAAAGAAACACTTCAAAAATCTCATTCTACATTCCTTACAAGTGTATTTTTCTTTCTACTTATTGAAAGTTTGGAGTGTAAAATGAGATTTGGAGTGTCAATAATAATTCTCATTTAAATTACCTATAAAATAAGGCGAAAAGACAATTTTATCTTCTTTCACAAAATAAAATTATAGGTGGTTATTTAGTTTTGCACAGACCAAATTTTCTTTTTCTTCAAACATCACTCACATGTCATCATAGCATCTCTCATTAAAATACAAAAAAAGAACCTCACATTTTCTCTTTTTCTTTTACATTTCTCTTTCAAATATCTTGTATCAATTAAATTTAGAGTTTGCAAAGTAAAAGGGCATAAAAGGCTGGCATGAGAAGAATATATGTTTTGATGTCAAATTTAAAACATCAAAATGAAATTTGATGGCTTATGTGGTAGTTTGATGTTTTGTACAATTTTTTCACCACTCGATATGTTAAATAATAATGTCATTCTATAATTTATTTATTTATTTTATCTCTTTGTGGGGTCCAATTATTGAGATAACCAATCAAATTCTTGGAATACAAAGAACATTTATTAAATATTGTTTCACAATTATTAAAAAATTATTAAATAAATTTGATACCTACTGTTAAATTTGACAGCAAAAGACCTTGCCTTCAAATGACTCAGCACCATGTAGGAAACTAAAGGCTCGGTTGGAAAGGGTATGCTGCCATTTTTTACTGTTGTAAATCTATGTGGTAGTTTTGACATCTCCTTTGGAGATGCTCTTATGTGTCACAATGATCTTTTTGTAAATTTTGTTCTCCACTCGATATGTCAAATTTAAACCATTGTTAATTGTATTATTTACTTTTCATAATTGTTTGTATTTTTAAAACAAAAATTACAAAAAAACATTTATTACCCCCTAAAAATAGATTTGAAGCTGCTGTCAAATTTGATAGCAACTCATTTTGCTACCATTCCATGTCATGTCACATAAGAATTGGCATTTCGGTTGGAAAACACTAGTGATGCCTTTTTTTTTACCGTTATTACTGATGTGAACTTTTTAACATCTCCTTTGGAGATGCTCTAAGGCTACTATAATCCTTATTGCTCATTGCTTTTATACACTTCAATTTTGCCAAAGAAAAAAAAAATTCACCCACCATGCACTCTTGTTTATTTCTAGGTGACACCGTAATACACAATGTAAGAGCATTTACCTAAATGAATTAGGTAAATTTTTACTTTGAGGGTTGATGTGCTACTTTACTTTCATCATTTGGCATGTTAAATATTTTTATTATACACTCACCTTACTTTCAATAAGCATGTTAAATTGCCAATAGACTTGTCCATGGATCATGTTTTGGTTTGAATCAAGTATAATTAATAAGACATATTGTGTATTGGAAAAACAATATAAAATATGGGATGGAGTCAGATCCCAATTCAATATATACACTATAATTTTATAACCGTGTGATGCAATTTACAACAATACGGGTGACATACAAAATTGCATGAATTATAGAGGTATTAAGTTAATGAGTCATATAATGAAGTTTTGAGAGAGAGTAATTGAGCATAGACTAAGGTAAGAGACACGGGTTTTAGACAATCAATTCGGGTTCATGCCACGACGTGCGACCTTGAAGGCAATCTATCTCTTGCAAAGATCGATGATACAATATAAAAATATGCAAAAGAATTTGAACATGGTCTTTATAGATTTGGAAAAAAAAACGTATGGTATGGTCCCAAGAGAAATTCTTTGAAGGATTCCGAAGAAGAAAGGAGTACGAGTTGTGTGGATGCAAATTTCTTCCTCCTTGATCTTGGACAATTTTGCACCTACAAAACAATTAACACCTTAGGCTAAGGCCAAGAGCCTCACGCGCCCACGATGAATGGGGGGGGCTTTGGCCAAAGAACCTCCGATGCCAAAGTTAGAATTTAGAGAGAAAGAGTGTTTAGAGAATTTTGGGATTTTTGCCAAAGTGTTGGAATTGGCTTTTTTGGTGAGAATAAGAGTATATTTATAGGGATAGGAGGTGGCTAGGGTTTTTGTGTTTGATTTAGGTTTAATTAGCCAATTTATTTGGCTATTAAACATAAAATGAATGTTTTGGTGGTTTTTGGAATTAATTGGCTAGTTAATTAGGGTAATTAAAAAGGGAAAATAGTGGAAAAGGTGGAGAATAAGATGGTTTACTTTTCTTGATGGGATTGGCCGGCCATTTTAGTAGTTTTAGGTTTGGATGGGTGTTTCAATTGATAATTAAGGGATTGATTAGGTAATTAATCCCTTAATTAGTCAATTATTATGATTTTAGGAAATATGAAAGGAATAAGTATATTATTTAGCTAATTGATTAGCTAAATAATGAAATGGGAAATATATGAATAAATTAGGTTTTAAGTTGATACCTATTTTGGGCACTTTTGACTTGGTTGAGGGATAATTGCATGCTGCTTGCGCGTAGGAATCCCGGTATACCTCAAGGGTAGTTTTGTCTTTTTTTGTCAAAAATCCACGTGTCGCCTTGTGATTATTTTTGGCTCCACAAATGCCCCCACACCTGTTGGGTTGCTTGTAGGAAAGGGCAACAGGTGTAGAGATTTTCTTGCTTTAGGAAACTTAAGACTGCTTCCTATTTTGATGTTGATTCTCTCTTTAAATGGAAATTAAATCCTTCTAGGAAAGGGAAATAAATTTCTCTCAAAGCCTATTTAAGTTTAAGTGGGTTATTAAATCAACTTTGGAGAGCGATTTATTCTACCCAACAAGAGAGAGAAAGTTAGAGGATATTTGTTCCCCCTCCTCTAGCAATCTTCTACATCTTGCCCGTGCAAAGGACCGTCTTTCGTTGATTTCTTCGTCTTCTCTGTGCCGCACCGATGTAAGAAAAATTTAATTTTTCTTTCCTTCTTCTTGGATAGTGCTATTGCAAGGCAGCCGTCGGGGTGGTGCGGCACGTCGGCTGGTAGGGGCCAGGAGTTGGCTCGACATGGGCCGAGGAGATGTTGTGGCAGGGACCACTGCTTGGGCAGCTTGGCTTGGCTTGAGCCAAGGGCAGCTTGTGCGGCTGGGGTCACGGATTGTGGCGTTGGCGCAGTGCTAAGCGAGTCGCATGGCTTATGTCCTTTGGTCTCTTGGACCTGACTCGGACCAGGCTGGCGATTGAGAGAAATGAGGAGATTGTGGGTCTCATGGGCTGCTGGAATGTTGGGTTGAACTCCCCTACTGGGTACCACAAATGGTGTTGGCTACTTTAACTCTCTTCATCAGGAGAAACGTGGGCTGCTCCCAAAATAAGAGGTGAATAGGATCAAGGCGGATGCATTGGTTCGTCCAATCACCGTTGTGGATCCTGCTGCAAGTGAAGGTGGGAATAGGGATCTTCCCTGCCTGCTCAAGAGATGCCGGCTGAGAAAAAACCAAAGACTTCTTTCGCTGCTTATGCAAAGGATGAAAAGTTGATTACTGCTTATAACCAAGTGATCCATTTCAAGAGAATCGTCGATAGGCTTGAACCCCAAGTGTTGGAACTTCAAGGTGTACTGAAGATCAACGAAAATTTGAAGAAAGAAGTGGATGAGCTGCAGCACGTCCATGTTGGTATTGGTGAAGTAGTTGGAGAAGTTGGTGCCCAGGCTGGAGCAGTCGGGGGTGATGCCGCTGCTAAGAGCTTCGCGGCTGCTGAAGGTGTGGCGATGGAATAGTCGTGGGATGTCCAGGCTGCTAAAGTGTAGTCATCTAGGTAGCCTTTAAGATTTTCTTTGTTTTTCCTTGTAGCTCTTGTTTTGCTTGAACTCCTTCGGCCTTTGCTAGTTGTTTATAAACATGTTTTCCTTCGCTTTTCTTCATCTTCGCTTCTTTTGTTCATGCCCTAACCTTTAGACTTGATAAACCAGTGGCAGGCATGCTACTTTTTTATAAGCAGACAAGCCCGCGTAGCCTATGCAGCCGTAGGTGTTGGTGTAGAACTTTGCAAAGTTGTTAGCCATTGGGTTGGCAGCCGAATGCCTTACTTACAGAAGCAGACAAGTCCGCGTAACCACTAGGCTGTTAACCTTGACTTTCTCCAATTCCGTAGGTTGCGCAGCAAGTATCACAACACTTTAGGCTTTGGTGTAGGTTGTTCCGCGCTTGGCAGAGGTGAAGCTTATCGACTACGTAGCATGTCAGCAGTGGATAAAACTTCGTATATGCGTGCTAGCTTGTTTAACCTTTCACAAGAATGTGCGGTTGTATAAGTCTAGTGCGGCTTTACTGCTCGAAGGGCAAGCCGTAGGCAGTCTTCCGGAATCCGTAGGCTACCTTAGTACACTCGGTAGCAGCTTTAAGATTCCAGGGTAGCCGTCCATCGGATGTACTGCGTAATGTGCCCTCTCCGTCTCTAGGGCCCGGTTCCCCACGGATTAGGCCAAGAGACCCAAAATCCTTCAGTTAGCTAAGCCTTGAAAAAGATCATTGCGGCTACTTCTAGGAATCCCGGCGTAAGCCATCGTGCATCTAGTTATACTCGGGCAGCCCGGCTCATCCATGTCTGGATATTCGAAGTGTAGAGTTGATCCTCCCGTTCTTGGAGAGCTGACCCATGTGGGTGTCGGGGAATTGGTTTACCTTCTCGCGTTGGAGAGCAATTAGTTTACCCTCTCGCACTGGAGAGTATGGTTGGTCCCTCGGGGGGCGCAATTCCTGCGGTAAGTCCCTAAGAAGGGCGCTGTCTTCTTTTGAAGTGCAGGAGTAATCAGTTGTTGTAAGCATGCATGCAGCCAAGCCAAGTCGTGATTACTTCTGAATTCCTCATTGAAAAATGAGTTAAACGAACGAGAACTTAGATGTAAAGTAAGAACTGCATAACAACTGGATAATCCTCGACTGGTGAGGTAGTACCCGTCGAGCTGCTTGAGTCTTCGGGCTTTGATGTAGCAAGAGGTCACACATGGTACTTCCTCAGATTGTAGGCGTTCCACTGTTTTTCGATCTTTTTGTCGTTTTATG